ATAAAATCTTCAGTAGCTTGCGTCACCTCTGTTACTTTCATTTTGTTGAATAACCGTAACTCTGTGAGTTAGATAACGTTGTAAGCATCTCAAACTTATGAGTAGGTGAGTAGGGCATATTAAGCTCAAATTTAAAAAAATGGAGACGAGCGAATGATGCTGCGACTTTTGAACATTGATCAAACAGATAAATGTTTTAAACTTTTAAAAGATAGTTCAAGACACTCTAATTCATTTGAGTCCTATCAATAATCCGCCAAAAGTTTATTGGGCGCTGAAAGTCGTCCAAAACGCAAGAAAACGTTGGAGCCATACCGCCCAACGAGCTAAAACACTCGTTCGACATGCTTTTCTACCGTGAAGAAAGCTGTATTGAAGCAGAAGGAGACTACTTTGAATAAATTAAAGTGATTTTGACGAAAAAGTCATTTGTTCTGTTTTTTTTTTTTAAGTATTGTTTTTACTTTTGAACCCCCTTGTATAATTGCTTTACATGAGAACCGCCGAAACTACAAGAGATGTTAGAAAAATTAAATGACCAACAATAGAAAGTTGTGGATGTGTACAGAAGTGAAAGAGTGGTGAATCATATTCCAAATTTTAATAATATTGATATGATTTTTCTTTGAAACATTCATAATTTACGTCAATGAATTTATTCGGTTTACCGCAATTAATCGTAACAAAATTAACAAGGGCGGTTAAATATCAGTACACTAAAGAAATACCATAATCTTAGAAAATGACTACGCATAATCTGAAAATACGATTTTTGAATGCCTACAAAGTGTAAAAGTACTGAAAACATCAAAAAGGTGGCTTTTAAGTAAGGGCTTACATGGATTTCCTCGGGTGAAGACAATATTTTTTCAACAATTTTTTCTCTTATAAAAAACTAAGTTTTTTTTTTAGAATTGTTTACTGTTACAAACATAAAATATTAGCAAAGAAACTGTGAAATTTTTGTAAAAAAAAAATAATATCTTAAAATCAGGCACTGGGACGCTATTTCACTTGATCGCTCGGAAAAAATATGAGCCCGCGTTGGCAAGATAACTCCCTACAGGATCTTCTAAACGGAGAAATGCGTGCTTTATTTCATTAATTTAGAATTTGGACGCAGGAAAAACTTTCAACTTTCAGAAATATTGGCAGGCATAAAATAAAAAAAATTAAATTTCAGTAAAAATTTGGCGATATATTTTTTATTTTTCAAATAGCTATCATAAAAAAATCCTTCATCCAAGCCTTTAAGAATTGTATCCCAAAGAGCTGTGTAAAATTTCATGAAGATTGGTTGAATAGTTCTTGAGAAATCTTGCCAATCGACTTCAGAAACACAGTTCCGAGAAAAACGCTGTATCTCCGAAACTATTACTCGAATCAACTTGAAAATTTAGCACAGTATTTTAGAGATGCTGTAGAATTAATTAAGATAATATAAGAATCGATTTTTTGAGAGGCGTAAACCCTTGTAACCCCTTAAAGAGAAACTCACATCTAACTTAACAAAACTGCACCGAATTTTGATGGCTATATATGATTTATGGTATAAACTTAAAAGTGCAGACAGAGATCAGTATTTTCAGTACAAGAGTCTGAAGTGAAATTTTATCTAAAAAAGGATATCATCCAAACCGTTCTTTAATCCAATAGCCAGAGTTTAGGAACAACTTCCAAACTCATTCATATGTGTTTTGAGTTTTTAAGAAGGAAGTTAAATGTCCCGTGGTTGTGGTCACGTCGGCTGATAAATTATATTAGCTGAAGAGAATGTTTTATATTATTTAAATTTCTGGCATTATTCATTCAACACTTAGTTCACATTTTGTTGTTTTTATAGGATAAGAAAAAAGAATATATATAAAGGAACCACAAGAGTAAAAACGTCAGAGTAAAGTGAGAATTGAAACTACAAATCATTTCTTAAAATATGGCAATCGTTTAATTTAAGTATGTGGTTTTCTTTTGGGATATTCCGCTACACAAGCGATTTGCTTCTAATAAATCTTTTCGCTTGCGGTCAGTAATTGTTTTTTGATATATCATCAGAAGTGCAGAATATAAAGCGTAATACGAAATTAGCTGTCAAAGCAATCAGTAACGAGCTCGTCACTCCGTAGAAATACGAAATGTCTGGCTGACGTCGGATGATGAGTGGTGTGAAAACTAATTTAGTGGTGCTACTTGAATTGAACACTCATATTTTGTTGTGAGAAACGAATTTGAAGTGGGTGAGCGTAGACTTCAGATTAATATTCCTGTGTGAATCTGTATTGAATGTGTTGAACCTGTCTTATAAATAGTTCGCAAATATAATATATGTATATACATTCTCTATAAATTCGGTGCTGCTCTAGGTGACAAACAAGACTATGCAAAATTGCTTGAATTTAGATTCGAGTTACTTTCTTTCCTGTTTTCAAGCAAAAACAGTCGTATTTAAAATCTGATAACAATTTTAAATACGACTGTTTGACAAGTTTGGAGATTGCTACAACATGTCATAACAATTTTGAAATGCGATTGTTTTTGCTATAAATTTATAGTACAGGGTCGTTTTTTCCTACTTCTTTTTATTTTTTTCTTTTGAATATTTTTGTTTATGTGTTTTGTTGCCATAATATATTGAGAGTAAAAATTGCCACAAAAGTCTAAATTTTTTCTTTGTTCGAAATGACTATAGATATACAAGTAAGTCTCTCTCAACATGAAAATGGATAATGTGAGGTGAATTAAAAACTAACGAATAATCTAAAGCACTTAATCGACATAAAAAAAGATTAAACAATTTCTTAAAAATCCTTCGAAATGATTCCTTCAAGTGCTAGAAGAGATCGGTCCTCGATCCAAACAGCACTTAAAGCACTTAGCGGTGGATACAATGTTGATCTGAGGTGAAATAAAACACCATATGTATTTTAAGGTAGTTAGAATGGCGCAAAATAGTCATAAAAATGTAGACGACTGGTACACAGCGATGTTAGTTTTATCAGAGGTTATGTTTCGACATTGCATTCGCTTATAAATAACAGATATGTTGTGTTTAACTACGAAAGTAAATTTAAGGTGTTACATGATTTTACGGGTTTCAAAAAATTAAATTTTTTTCTTGTCTTTTTAAGTTGTTCAACACCTTTAGTACATTGTCCTAAATTTTTAAGTTTATCTAAGTTATTGTTTCGGAGTTACAGCCTTGAGAATTTGCCCGCTCGAGGCTAGTTAGGTTAAGTGCGTCGTATTTAAACACGTTTTTCTCGAAATTGTATTTCTGCAGTCGGTTTGCAAAACTTTTCGAGAACTCCTCAACCAATTTTAATGAAATTTTACACAGTTTTTTGAGATACAATTTTTAAAGACTTAGTCGAAAGCGTTTTGCGATTACAACTATTTGAGAAAACAAAATTTTCACTGAAATCTTAATTTTTTGTAAAATAATCTGCCAATCCAATTATCGGTCTCTTTTTTCACTTTGTCCAAGTTCTAAGTGAAGTTTTTAACTAAAACACTTATTTTTTTTCTTTAGGTGATTTTGTAAGGATTTATACTACCAACGCGGGCGCATTTTTTTCGCGAGATCACTAGAAATGGCATCGCAATGTACGAGTTTGAAATATTTTTTTCCAAAAATTTCAGAATTTCTTTGTTAATAGTGCTTTTAAAAATGAAAGGTTTTAATAAAATATTTAATTTTTTAAATTTAAGAAAAAATGTTAGGAAAAAGGTTGTGTTTTACCCGAGAGAACAAATGTAACCCTTTAACTTAGACAGTTCTGATTAGTCAACACCGACCTACCTGTCATCGCCGTGGCCATAATTTGGGTAAGATTTTGCATTAAAAGAAAGCCTCCAATGTGCTTTATTTCCACTAAAATGACAAATATGTTGACTTTTTGAAAGACGAATTGATCGAACTTGCGGGAAGGATTTCCAGCGATAAGTGGATATTCCAGCAAGATAATGTGTCACTTCGCATTATATGCCAGCAAGTTTTTAACTCGTGAAAAATTTCGCTTTTGGATTGACCAGCAAAAATCACGTATGTAATCCCCATCGAAAACCTCTTGACAAACAGTTAAAAGAGGCAATAATGTAATAATAACCTCTGGTAACTCAATGCCATTTTATCTACATCAGATAATAATGCAAAAAAGAAAATTTATAAAATATTAAAATTAGCATTTTTTTAGGTTAAAATAACAAAACACGTAAATAAGCAATAATGTCTTATACAAAGAAACTATTTGTCTATAGTTGAGCTATTCGATAGCGAACCTCAAATTTTCCAGTTACTCTAATCAATTGTAAGTTTCCAAAAAATGAAGTTGGATTCATTCCTACTTTTTAAGCGGACATCCTATACTATAAATAAAAATCGAATGTGGCGATGCGTTTTGCGAACTTGCGTTGTAGTAGAAATTCCACCTTACCTTCTTGTTGGCTAAATAACCTAAGCTGTTTTTAAAGTTTAACTATTTAAGAATATGTCTGCAAGAGAATTTTTCAGAATTCAAATTATTATCACTGAATTGTTATCTCGGTATTTTGCTGACCCGGAATGTTATCTCGGTATTTCGGCCGGAACTGAATCTTTCAACGAATTTGTCACGAAACTGTCTTTTTCAAAACGATATCTTCTCACTTCTAGTAGACCGATTTACAACAAATTTTGAGCGACTTTATGGACTTATGCTGGAGCTAAGTGGCTTGCTGCGACTTAGGAGAGAGTCAATAGTCCTTAGGTCCCGGTGCCTTCCTGTCCTATTTATCTTATCTTATCTAGCAAAAAGAGCGAATTCAAATTGGTTTTCACTTTCGCGCTGTTAAATTTCCGTAACTAGTATACTGGAAACGCATAGTTGACATAAGTTCAAAATGATAACAAAGCATAAAGTCTATTAAAAGTTTGTCATCATTTGCTTTCTCGTTACTCGTGAGTACCGCTCCCAGCATCACGCCACACCCACACACATATCGATTATGCACACAATTTCACTTACCATTTTGTGCGGCACTGCCTTGAAACAAATTGCGCAGGTAATTGAAAAAGCGACGATGTAATGGCCGACGCCGATGCCGTGACATGCGACGCCCCTGTTCGATGTCATCGCCAGACTTGGCATCGGCGCCGTCGCCGTCGCCGTCACCGTCACCGTCACCGTCACCATCAGCGGCGGCGACACCACATTGCGACGCGTCGACGACAATTTCCACGCTACGCCGCTGTGTCTTTTTCGACGACACCAAATTGCTGCGTTTCAACGCCGCATTTGAAGGAACAATTAAAGCATCACTAGCGCTCGGCCCGGGACCAGCTATGCTGACTATTTGACCACCACCATCGCCGCCAATCTCTGCTAGGCTGCCACTGTTGTTGGCTGCCGCTGTTGTCCCCACCGCAGCAGCGACAGCTGATGGCTGTTGTTGGATGACGTGCGTTGACAGTGTCGTCTGCGCTTGATGATGGCTGGAATTGGCGCTATTGCCGCGATATATTAGCTCCATGTCGTTGGACATTTGACGCAGCGCATGCAAGCCTGTATTCACGCTACTGCTAGTGCTTAGGCTCGTTGCTGTGGTTGTGTGGGTGTGCGCCGCGCCGACGCCGATGTGGTGGCCATTGCTAGCAATGCCGCCTCCGCCGCCGGTGCCGCCACCGTTGAGGCCCATGTAGTAGGCGCTGTTGGGTCGCTGCGTATGTGAATGTTGCACTTGTGGTCCGGCCATAGTGATGGTGGGGTGTTGTTATTGTTGTTGAGAATTGTGTTTGCCTTGCGCGTACTTATAATTAATTGGAACACATGTTTTTGGCTTTAACAAAGTGGAAATGACTTTTTGCTAACGTATTTGCTATTTGCATTAATTTAATTGAAATTATTATTATTTTTTTTTAATTTATAATACGAAATTAGCTACTTTTAATAGTTAATTAGTTAAAATTGTTACACATTTATTTTAATTTTTATTATTAGTTAAAATATCTACTTTTTTTGTTCATTACAATATTTTTGGTTATTAGTGAACTTCGTTGGATTTCTCTTTTTATTCTCATTCTCTGATTACTCTTCGTTTTTAGGCGAACTCGTGCAGCAATTTGCCGCAATTCGCGCTTTCACTTTTATGCCAGCAAACACATTATTGCAATTTGTGCAAAATTATTTTTTTAAAATTTTTTTTTTTGAGTTTTGGTTCGCAAAGTTTTTGGCACTTATTCAACGCTTTTTGCTTTGCTGTTCTCGCCTACTTGCCACATTACGTGGCATAAATTTTAATTAGTAACGATAAAATGCGAAAATTTGCCGACGCACGACGAAAAATAACCGACCATGCTGCCTAAAACCGCCCACCGAGCAACTCAATATATGCGAACGTTGTCGTCAATGCTTGCTTTGTTGTTGCTGTTGTATACAAAGCGTAATGTATTCGCAATTATTGCCTAATACTCATTACTTGAATTCACATTAAATACAATTACAAATACGTAATTTTATCGCAGACATTTTTGTGCGGCTCGCATGTCGATGACGTCTGACACGCGGTAAAACGCCTCACGAGTGTTGTTGCTGACATTCGCGCTGTGACATGTGCATTTGTTAGGGTAGCGCGCGGTTGGCAAATAATCGTGAACGGCGGTGGAAATCGCAGCATGTTTTAGTATTTTTTGTTTTTGTTTTGGTTTTTTTTGTTTATTTGCTAAAAAGATATTAATGAATTATTATTTGTAGAATATTTTGAATTTTGTGCTTCAATTAATTGTAATTAATTTAGCTTTGTGGGTTTGCGGCATTTCAAACGCAAATTTCATTTTGATTTTTCTATACGTTGCATGTGTTAATTTATTTATACTAATTGTTAGCACATCTGCAAGTAGAAAAGAGAAGAGAGAAATGCAAATAAAGTAAGTAAAGAGCGCATATTTGTTAGTTTGCAGTGCTAAAATTACGCACATGAGTGTAAATGTTAAATTTCATGCAAATAAAGTTCAGCTTTAAGCGTTTATTCATATGTAAGTGTTAGCATTTTGCAAATTCATTAAGCAGTAAGTTTATGCATGCAAAATTATTAGCAAATAACTTTTTTAATTATTGGCATTAATCATATTTAGATCTGGTTTCTTTATTATTCATGTTAATATGTAGAAATATGTTTTAACAATAAGAAATTATGTGAATGAAGCCACAAAGTGTATTTCTGCATAAGTGAGCAATCGTTTCGATAGCTACAGGGTGACCTACACATAACGAGTAAGGAAGATGAATTCATACTCTTGGCGGCTCAATGCCGACTTGTTAGGTTAACGGAAATCATTACCTGCAGCATAGCATAATTACGAATATGTTCGGCATTCTACTACACTTGTGCCCACGCAAACCTTACCACTATACTTTCTTAAATTTTTTCGGACTTTTTCGGTCGTTCGCGATTTTCTTTAATTTTTTTTTATGTGTTTTGTAAGCATAAGTTAACTAAATTTTAGTATTTAATTTATTACGTTGAATGAGTAAAACAAAAACTAGCTTTTCTGTGTTTATACAAAAGCGGCCGATTTTATTGCTTTTAAACATATACATCGACCAAACTTCATGCTTCAAAAAAAAAATAAAATAAAGTAAAACTCTAATTTTAATTATTGTGTAAATTGAATTAAATTAAAAAATAAAAAATATAAATTTTCCATCGCATGTTAGTCTCTTACATTTCGGGCTCATTTTGTAAAGCTCACTATCTTTCAATTGATTTATCTATCGCTGAATGTGTTTTGTTTTTAATTTTTAATATTTTTGATAAATAACATGTCATTAACTTATTTCTAAATAAAAAAATATTCATAACGCAAAAAGTACCGCTATAAAGTGTAGCCAAATATGCACAATACTTGAAAATTTTGAGTGGCAAGGTGTGTGCGGCCACGAATATATAAGCTAATATACTCAAAATTATACTTTCACTTCATGTTTTATTAATATTATAACCCCTTTTATTTTCTGAAAAAAAAAAATAGTTTTTTCAAGATTTTTTTTTGCAAAATCGGATTTTTTTTTTAATAATTGAACACTGTTGATATATTTATATATGCTTAAAATTGTTAAATTAAAATTTTCAGTGCAAAATGTGCCCATATGTTGGCACTAGAGCTGTTTTTTTCGTAAAAGATTTGCGGTGTGCATTATTAGTACGTGATGGTTCATTTCCAATCAAATAATTAATCATAAATATTTAGTTCTGTGTCGTTAGTTTATGGTATATCACAACACCGTACTTAAACGAATGATTCGCGATGGCGAAATAAACATTTTTACGCAAGTGCTGATGGTTTTACTTAAAATATCGATTTTTGTAGGTCTAACAATTCAGTTTTTTCATTAAAAAAAAAAAAACTCTTGTTTCAAATTAAAAATCGTTCGTTCAAGTATGAGATATTGTAGTTTTCAAGTAGCCAGTAAAAAATTAGATCGATAGGTCACATGCCAACTGTAACTTTCATTATAGTGTAACAAGATTTACTTTAAGAAAATGCAATTAAAAAATATTGACTTTTCCAACGCACACAAGTGTATATAACAATTTAAGAGAGCTTATATATTGATCCGATTTGGCAAGAGTAAATATGCTTTGAGCTCACTGGAAGAGTTGGCGATATTGAGGTCACAGAGTCTGTTAAATTTCGGGTGAAGCCCAGGCATCCTGAAGAATGACTACTCCATAAGGATCTAGTAAATAAACTCCATCAAGTAACTGAAATTACCAAAACTGGTCTATGCGTGATTCAGAAGCCTGCCAGGTTGACTTAACCTAAGCTAATCTATTAATCAACTTAAAGTGTAATAGTTTTAAAGTGTATATTCGGTGTATAGGACTAAAGTTAACCGAATGTTAAAAATTGAGATATTAGTTATAAGGGGGTAAGCAACGCAAGTTTTTACATGATGTTATTCATTTTATTGGTGCATAATTTTTATACTCGAAAGTTAAAAAGCAGATGGTATTTAAAATTGCGTTATTCGAGAATTTGGTGTGGATATAGTTCTATTTTCTCCATGCATTATTGAAATGTCGAAGTTCAACCAAACTTGGTTGAAATCGGTCGAACCAGGGGTTTTCTCCTAACTACGGGCGGTTTCCCTACCGTTGGCTTATTTTGACCCCGGCTCCTATAACGCCCTCTACCGTTATATGGGTAGTGCTGAATTTCAGTTTAACCATATATCTTAGTTTAGTGCTTAGTTATGCCATTTTAAAGGTTTTCGTTTAATGGAGTTTAGTAAGCGTGGCTGTGGTCCGATTACGCGCCATGTACGATTTCATCCATACGTTTCTGTCAAGAAGCACGTTTACCGAGTTTCCTTTTGATATCTTAATTGCTTAATAGTGCTTTTTTCAAATGAACTCAATTAGACTAGAAGTAGTTCTTTGGACTTAATATATTATAGGAGCTAAGAAGCCCTGCAACGGAGGAACTATCTAGGTTCTGAGTAAAAATAATAATTCAATTGATTCGGCGCCGTTCGCAGCAACTCGGACTGAGATAAGGATTGACTGAAACCGCTCGACCTTCCCAAGCGACAACGCTTCGTTCTTGAAAAGTTCCAAGAAAATCCACGCTTTCGAGCCAAATTTTGTTCAGCGATGAGGAGCATTTCTGGCTCAATGGGTATGTAAACAAGCGAAATTACCGCATTTGGCACGAACCTGAACCTGAAGAGCAACCTGAAGAGCTTTAAGAGTTGCTATTTTATGTAGAAAAAATAACAATTAATTCAGTATGATTTGTGGGCTGGTGAAATCATCGGTGCATATTTCTTCGAAAATGTGCTGGTAATTGGTTCCATAATTTAATCAATGAGGTCCTTTGTATGACTGGTTAAAATTCTCGGAATAGCTGTTTCAATCTATTTCGATTTAGCTTATCAATATTTTATTAATAGTAGCCGTCTGCAATTTGTTGGAGAGTAGCGAATCGAATAAGCTCTAGCAGCTGCTCAAAAATATAGATAATAAATAAAATATGATTTCTTTCGTCATTTGAACTATACACCTTAGAAAACCTGATATAAAATTTGTAGTTAAACTTTTTGCAGCATTGAACGATTTGAACTCGATAAATTTGTTGTGGTGCTTTTCGAGACCCTAATAAGTATGAGAAATAATTTCCCCATAGTAATTATCGACGAAGAATAGTTTCGCCCAATAGATCGAGAGCTAAAAAAGCATACTGATAAAGAAACTCAAGGTAGTGATTCAACACCTCACTTTGTCTACACAGTCTCTTCTATACTAAATTCGTTAGTTTTAAAGCAACATTATCTTAAAGCATTCCTACATTATTCACAACTGGTCTATGTAAAATTTGTCTTCAAATAGAAATCAGGCTAAATTGAAACTAATTTAAAGCACAACAAACACTTATTCACAAATTAAATTCGCTGCAGGTCAAATCTTCCAACCATTACAACTGCTCTTACAATACGCCTTCTGACCATTCTTATTATCCTGCAATCCATTGGCAATTTCGGCACTACTTTGACTTCTCTAGATGGGCAAAAGAATATAAATTATTACCGGATATTTATACTACAGTAGCGACAAAAATCCAATTTCTCCTTACTTTCCGGCAGTGAAAAGCACGTTGCGCATTTGTGAGACAGCTCGGAAGTTACTCCAGCCGCACGCGGCCGAGTAGCGTTGCTCTCATGTTCACCTAACCGGTTGCTACCGACAGCGGCGGCTGTCTTCCTGTTTACTTGTACTGGATTAAATATTTTTCTAGCTCGCCATGATAGACTTGACGGCAGGTAAGCACTGAGAAATAGGCAATAAAAGCGCTCATATTTATTTCATGACCATAAAGC